GGTCGGTCAACAAGTTGTTGACTTGTGGAATTTTGATGAGGTTTTTGCATTGTGTTCCGTTCGTTAAAAGACTCAAAAAGATGTCGATCGTCTTGTTAATCAAATCGATATTCGTCGGATATTTCAAGAAATTCGACGAGAGTTTTTCGATGATAAAGACCATCATATCGTCAGTCGAATTCACACCCAACCCATTTTTAATGTCCTTCAATAAGTCGTCCCTGTTGTTTAATTTCGTTAACATCATCGTCTTGAAGTTCGAGAAGAATTTGAGGTACTCCAACTCCGTCGATATTTCAGCGGTTTTCAAACTGTTGTCCCACTTCCCAAGCCCAAATATCCGATTCGTCGTTCTGATTTGTAAGAAAATGGAGACTATTATCTTCGGCTGAACACCATCTTCTTGACTGTTCCGGTACGACGATACTCCTCTTCCCAAGAGCGAATTCATCAGTGACAAAAACCACAACAACTTCGTCTCAATCTTTTCCAACAGTACTGAATTGTAATTGTGTGTGTCTTCGAGCTGCGAAAGCTCAGACATGCAAATCGATTTGTTATTCTCCAAAAAGTCATACATGGGCCCAAGATTCAGTCTTGTGAGTTGTGAAATGTTCTCAATCAATTCATTACAGTTCAGGTCAACATCATATAAAACACATTCACCACCACAGTAGTTCATCCCATTCAAATAATTTGAAATCGAATCGATCAGTGTTTGGCAGATCGCAAACACTATTTTGTTGAATGTGCCCTCGGCTTGGGGGTCTTCTGAAAACGACCCCGAGTTAATAATTTTGTTCCAGAACGAGAGAATGTAATTCACTGATTCGCCAAGGGAGAGCCAGTTTTGTACCACAAGCAATGAGAAGTTATTCAGTGTTTTTAAATTGTTCGTCGTAAGAATTTGTGACATCTGAACGTTTGATTTGAGCCGTTCCAAAAACTTGCAGAACACCGCGCAAGCATCTGGAGTTTTGATCAGTAGTCCGTTGTTCATGATATTGATCGCTCCATTAAACATGTTTTGGAAAAACACAAAGGCGTCCGCACTACTTTGCCACGACGCTTTTCGGATGGACGCAATTGTGGCCAGTAATTCAAGTACTTTGATCGCCATTTTCTCAGACGCAAATATCGCTTTGAAGAGTCCGTCCATAAACATAGAATTATCCACAATCGGAATGTAGATGCTCGGTAGTTGAATCGTTGCTAAATCATCGTTCAATTCGTCTACCATCGTCCCCGTGAAATTGAACTTAAAACACGACGTCAACAAATCCAAGGTGTTCTCCAGAATCGTCAACGCATTTGTTATTTGTTGCCCTTGGCTTAACACTTGTAAGCAGACCTGATACGCAAATTCAAATATCAGTCGGAGCCCGTTGTCTCTGAATGACGTAATTGTCTTTCTCACCATCGTCTTATCAGCATCGGATAACGTTTCTACTATTTCCATCATCGAATACAAGTAAAACACAACGTTGTTCGGGTCTTTGCGGCCACCCTCGACAAGTAGTTGAACGTATTGTGGAGCTTCTTTCGTTTCAGTGTAAAGTGCTCTCAACAGGAGTGCCTGTGTATGTGAGGCTATTCTCGCACACGCACCATCTAAAGAAGGTCCGCGGTTTAACAGAAAATCAGACATGAGCATAAATGCTTCAACCTTTTGTTTCTGGTTCGTCGATGGCAAACTTAAGATTTCTGACATACATTTCACCGCGTGCATCTTTCTGTTACTCGTCTTTCTTTCATATTACTACAATGCATATAACGCCACTATGACTTAAAATCAATGAAATACCCACAGGTTGACATCATGCGGTCTTAACTATCTTTTATAATTATTTTTACTATAAATATAGTTTAACTATACCTTCAAGGCAACATACTAGAATATACTATTGTAAATACTATAACGGAGAGAACAAACAAGAGCAAATCGATTTTGACTCTGAACCATGACAATTTTGCACTGAGGAGCGGTAAATACTACTTTGAGGTTACACCCGGTTGTATAGAGCCGAGTCAAAAGTTGTTCGATCTCGGGAAGTTGCATATTTGTTGTGTTGACGATTTCCGTGTTTGGTGCACTCATACTGAATTATCTGGCTTTTTTGAGTTTTTCATTTTCTTTTTATTTTGTGTGTTTTTTCACTTTTCATTCCACCGTTTTTGAATTGATGAGTTAACTATACTGTACTTTATTTTACTTTTCAATATTAATGTAATAATAAACAACTCAATTAAACAAAAACGTACGGAAAATATTTTAGACAAATTTTGTGTATTTGACGGGAAAATTTACTTGAGGATCGATTTTTCAAGTTTCTTGAGTTGTACGATAAATCCATTTTCTATATCAACAACAGGACAATGACCTTTAATCTCTTCAACCGCCTTTTCCATTCTCATGTTTTCAAATCTCATGAGGACTGCGGCAGCGACGACGGGCGATTTGTTGACCCCCGTCCCACATATAATAAGCACGCCGTTCCCCATTTTTGCAATCTCATTCACAAAATTGAAAATGAGTGATAAAGATTTGAGAAGTTGAGAGCCCTCCTCGGTATTTAAGCCCACGTGAAGGGTGAAAAAATTTGATTTTTCGAAAAAAGTCGGAACCTCATCACCGACAAAGACAAGCCCTGTGATGTTCTGGTCGTGGAGGTATCGCAAGTGATGCGCCGACACAAATGAAGCAATATGAAGTCTCTTCCGTATCCGTGTTGGAGGTGGGGTTGGAAATGTATCCACACTATATTTAACGTTTGGGCGAATGTTGTCCAAGTCACAGTTCCCACCCAATTTCAACGTTTTCAGTGTCGGGTGATCTGCTGGAAAGACTTGCAAAAAGTTAAGACTAAACTGTTATTATTGGTAGTGAAACGGTGATGAACAAACGACATGTCGAGAACTTCCAGTGCCAGAGAGGTGTAGTTAGGAGAAACGCAAATGATCTCGTTTGCTGAGAGGTTTAAGAACCTGAGGTTACTTAGCTTCAAAATATCACAGGGGAAGAGTTCCAAGTTGCATGCTTGCAGAGATAAAGAGTCGAGTGAGGCTGGGAGATTACCGAGTAAAGAACTTGCTGGCGTGTTGTTCAAAATGAGTGTTTTGAGTGAGTTGCACATACTGATGTCGAGTTTTTGAATTGGGTTATTCGACAAATTGAGATATAATAGTTTTGGCGCACTCATACAAAAGGTTTTGATTGAATTGCTATCACAAACAAGACTCACGAGTTCTGGGAATGTCACGTCTTTCACTGCGGTGATTTGATTTGCCGAAATTGCAATTTCGGTAAGACTGTCAAAGACAGGGATCTTCGAGAAAATGTTTTCTGTCACATCGAGTTTTTTAACGTTTTTCATAAACACCAAATCGGAAATTTTGTTGTGTGCAGCAATTAATGTCAGCACGGTGTTCATCACAGGACATTGAAAGAAAGCGTTGTGTGAAATGTTCAGTTCCTTCAAACTTTGTGGAAGGCTCGGAAGTGCCGAGAGGTTGTTAAACGACAAGTTAAGTGAACGCATAAGTACGTACTCTGAGATGTCTGGCAACGTGTCCAGAGCATTACTTGAAAAGTCTATCGATGTGACTTCATTTTGTATTACAAACTTCGCGCTCACATTAAAATTGTCGAGCTTCCTTTCAGTGAGTTGTTGGTTAATTCTTGTACAATTATAGTATAATTATGGTAAAGAATAGTAAATGGAAGTTCCAAAGAACGAAACAGTCGAAGCAATCAGAAGAACAATGAGAAAATAGCATTGGATATGAGAAAGAACAAACAGGAGTGAAAGATTGAGGTGGCCAGCGACAAGACACTTTTCCAAGTCCACGCTTTTTCTGTCTTCCTTTGTTCTGCTCATTTAGCAATTTTGAGTTTTTTGAAAGCGAAAAGGGTAGAATGCTTCAGTTTTAGGCTTTTCATCCATTCCAACTGAAATCCCGTCAAATCCCGGAATGGTGGTGTGTTATTCAGCACATTGGCTCTGAAATGTTATAAAAAACAATAACTTATATCACTTCTTCGACTTCTTAAAGTCTTGGAGGTGAGCTAAGTAGCTTTTAGGTATTGGTTTCTTTTTATTCAGGGACTTCACAATGGACTCTGTAGGCGGGTGGTTTTGTTGTATGACACTCAAAATGCCTGGAATACTATGTTTAAATGCTCTCTCATAGAACAATTTCGCGTCTCTGAAATCGACGGTATTATCTCCTCTGTGCTTTGCAAATATCATCATCTCCTCTACACTTTGTTCGACATATTCTTCTATCATTTCTTGAAAAAAAGATATAACATCAGAGTCTGGTAACAGTCTAGGATCTACCATTCTCATCGTTTGTAAGATATTCTCTCGTGTTACAAGTTCTCCTTGTGGTCTTTCTTTTTGCGGCTTTGTTAATCGTTTTCTGTCCATTGCCTTATTCCGTTTTTTTCTCTTTTTTTAATGACAAATAATTATATTATATCTGTTATAATTATATTATATACAAAATAATTATAACGTATCTATAATATTTATATTATATCTAATTAAATTGTATTATAGTTAATTATAATTATATTATATCTATTATATTCTATTTATACTGTATCTATTATAATTACAATAGATATATTATAGTTACCACGACAATAAAAAAAGTGACTTAGAAATCTTTATTTTTCACCTTTGTCTTCTTTGATATCTCTAGCGGCTTGAGCTTCGGGGCTTGGGTCATAGTACTTATCGAGAGTCTCATTAGAAATTCTTTTCAACATATCACGGGGGAAAGTTCTGAGTAAAGACCAAGCCAAGTCCAAGCTTTGGAAGATATCTCTTGATTCGTAGTAGTCTTGTGCGATGAATTTTGACTCGAATTTGTCCAAGAATTCCAACGCCAATTTATCTTCCATACTTAAAGCTTCTTCACCGACGACTGCTTTAATTGATTGTGCGTCTTTACCAATAGCGTAGTTAGCGTACAATTGATTCGAGACTTCCGAATGGTCTTCACGAGTCATTCCTTCACCGATAGCGGACTTCATTAATCTACTTAAAGATGGTAATACATTAATAGGAGGATAGATTTGTCTATTATGCATTTGTCTATCAACATAGATCTGGCCTTCTGTGATATACCCAGTCAAATCTGGAATAGGATGTGTGATATCATCATTAGGCATAGTCAATATAGGAATCTGAGTAATCGACCCTACACGGCCATTGACACGCCCAGCTCGTTCATAAATCGACGCAAGATCGGTATACATATACCCGGGATACCCACGACGGCCCGGGACTTCTTCACGCGCCGCTGAGACTTCTCTCAACGAATCGGCGTATGAGCTCATATCTGTTAAAATGACCAAGACGTGCATATCGCAAGTGTACGCAAAGTATTCTGCTGTAGTTAAAGCAAGACGTGGTGTAATAATACGTTCAATAGTCGGGTGGTTAGCTAGATTTAAGAATAAAGTGACTCGTTCCATTGATCCATTCTCTTCAAAGTCTTGTCTAAAGAATCGAGCTGTTTCCATATTAACACCCATAGCCGCAAATACTATCGCAAAGTTATCTTCATGGGTATCAACTACTCCAAGGCCTTTATGTTTGACTAATCCGGCTTGTCTACAGATCTGTGCAGCAATTTCATTGTGTGGAAGACCAGCAGCAGAGAAGATTGGGATCTTTTGTCCTCGTGCAATCGAATTCATCACATCTATAGCTGAAATACCCGTTTGAATCATTTCTTCGGGATACACACGATTCGCTGGATTAATAGGTTGCCCATTAATATCAAGATAATCCTCAGCAATCACATTCGGCCCTTTATCTACAGGTTTCCCAGACCCATTAAAGACTCGGCCTAACATATCTTCTGAGACTGGAATAGTTAAGACATCCCCTGTAAATTCACATCGCGTTTGTCTCGCATCTATCCCCGATGTCCCTTCAAAGACTTGAACAACAGCTTTGTTCCCAGCAATTTCTAATACTTGACCTTTACGGGTACTCCCATCCCCTAATTTGATATTCACAATTTCACTGTAACGTGGCCCTTTGATGTTGTCTAAGATCACTAGTGGACCATTCACACTCGTCACGGTACGATAATCTGTGTTTAAGTACTATTATCATACTATAATAATACTATTATATACTATA